GGGTTTAGTTAAAAAGATATTAAACCGTTTCCAGACTTTTTTGTCACCCTGTATATAGTGAGGGTCCACAATACAGCAACACATTACAGCCTCCATAACAGATTTATCAGCATAATTTGACAAATATTTTGATTCTAGTTTGTTTTTTTTACAAAGAAACTAACGTAGTTCCATAACGAAGTGAATGTTCAAAGCTGAAGTTAACAGAGCAATATCTTTCACCTCAGAGGAACCGGAAGTAAGGGAGTTTCTGTAGGAAGGAAGTTGTCACTGCGGAAGTAATAAAGGTTGGATCAAAGCACAAAACTAAGAGATGTAATCATCCTGTGTCTTAAATAGTTATAGTAAAGGAAGTAACATCTACTATACCTGTTTATAGGCATAAATAATTCAATAGGTGAAGAATATACAGGCGATTATTAAACTAAAACCTTAAATAGTATTTGTGTTTTAAATTAAATAAACGGTATAAGTAAACTATCTCCCCTTAGCGCAAAATTAGAATTGAATATCCTAAAACTTTAATGATAGAAAACAATTAAAATGGATAAGCGGCTTTTATGAGGAAACCCACAAAGGTACGTTAAATGCATTTTAACAGTAATTTTTACAACATTACGTGTTAGGCCACTTTTGTTTCTTTAGTGTACTATACACCATTGATAATACTTGATAACACCATGATAATACCTGTAAATTGGACAACAACTTATAACAAATCGGACAATTAATTTAATGTTCAAACAATACAACTAACCAACAGAATGAGTGACAGCCTAACAGATTCTGCAATGAGTGCATTATTTTAATGGAATGTTAAATCAAAACCTTTTGTTAAGATTTTAAGTTTATCCATTTAAACTGCTACAACCAAAAATGTTGAGCATACCAAAAAACAATATAAAACCAGTATAAAGTTAGTACCTCTCATCAAAAAGTTTATAGTTTTAAAAAAAACACGATTTGTTTTAGGATAAACTGTTGTTATTTTGGTTTAAATTTGCAAATGTAATATTCTTTTAGTTTTAAGGTGATTTAAGTTGCAAAGCCAGAACTGAATTACAAGCTATGCATGTACTAATTTCCTAAGTCTGGTATAGTGTGGGAATGTATATATGTAATGGCCTATGTTCCAAACAAGGCCAGTATAAATAAATAAATTGTCAAACAGTATTCTTCAAACACACACACCACCTAAAAAACACTTTTAAGTTCAATGAAATTCAAAACATACATTTCATACCACAAAAAAAAACTCTAACTCGAAAATTACGAAGATATATACAAAGATATACATAGGTAATTAACCACCTTTTCCATGTATAGGGGTACAAAGTTAAACCTACAATAGTTGTAACATTACTGTAAAATAATTGTCAAAACAGTTATATTCCTCACAAAATCCAATCGATACCATGATATAAAAGACATTTTAGCACTATTGACAGACTCAAACCTTACCTCAGCAAATTTCTGTCCCAAAAGTAATACGAGTATGTGTAAATGACAGTTTGTCCGTGACGTCACGCAGTATAATAATTAATTCCAACTGCCTCTTAATTGTTATTTATTCACCATCAATCCTAGTTTACAGCTTTGATAATGTCCTTTGCGTTAATGCATACGTGTTTAAGTTTCACGTTGGAAACCAGTCTAGTAAAGGTTATATTAGAAACTTTTTCTGTATGTTACCATTTAACTCCATATGCAAATAATCGGAAATGGTACTTTCCTGTTAAAGGGAACATTCATTATTATCGATGATTTTTTTCTCGATATATCGATATCAACAAATCGAAACATATCAGCTGACAACTACGAAAAATATTGTTCAGTATCGACAAACATTAATGAAATGAAACTGTTAAAAAAATAACCTAACATAACTAAACAAACTCGCTGTAACATTTGAAAATTCCGTGTTCATAACTTGCCTTTTATATTCAAACCCAAACGATTTTTTTTAATGGTACAGCAAGTTTGGTTGGTTATGTTAGGTTAGCTTATAACAGTTTCATTTCTTAATCCATATAATAGACTATTTTGGCCTAAACAAGATCAGTTGTTGTCAATTTGTAATGGATCGGAAAACAAAAACATCGATAAATCGAGAAAAAAATCATCGATAATAATGATTGTTCCCTTTAACAGGAAAGTACCTAGGAAATTTATTAACTTTTCAGTTCGTTGGTATCATTAGGATGAAGCCTAGCTGTTATGAACGAAAAATATTAGGTTAATAGACGAGTATTTATTCCCTTTATATACAAACATATGCTATAACATAAATGCTTAACTATATGTGTCCATGAATCAAACGTATCGACTGGCAAGACATTTTGTACTACTACTGGTTTAACCTGAGTTTGTTAGGCTACAAAATGTTTAACCTAATTTTGGAAAGGTTTCATTGTGATTTGCTACTAAAAAAAAAATTATTGTGTTTTATATATTAATTTATACTCATTTATTTATTGCAATAAAATTATTTATCTCTGTTTGAGTTCAAGTTGATTTTTCAAGGTTCTCCTTTTTATAGTGTACTATCCTAACTATTGAAATTATAAAATAATTGTTTTCTTAGTTAGTTGTTGTTTTATAGTTGTTTATATTTGTTTAAAAAAAACAAATTATAATATATCAATAAATTTAAATAATTATGAAACCATAATTTCTTTGGTTTAATAGCCAAAAAGTAACAATGTTTTAATTAATAGTACTTCATTAGAATCGTGTCAAATTTAAAACTCGTTCTTACAACATATATGTATCCAAAATTGTTATATTAAGTAAAATTCTGGACAGTATTTATTGTTCGAGAAATTAATTTACACAAAAATACAAATATCCCAAATATTCTTTGAAATATCAACAATTGAAGAGAAAGAAACCATTGGTACACATCGGGTATTTTTTTTTTCGAAATCCACTTTTCCACTTCCACAAACTAAACTTATGTAGACTACACTATATAATTCGATAACATTGAGTAGTCAAAAATGGTGTAATGTGCATAATTGGTGTAATGGTGCAGTTGTGTATTTTTTAGCATAATGTTTATTATGAGCCGTAGTTGAAGAATCTTATTTAATGTACATTACGTTTGAATGCATCGATAAACAACGTATTTACGTACTTGAAATCGCATCGGTTATTATTGCTCATAGAGTGACAATCCATACGCAAAACATACGGCTAACCATTTTCATGTAAGGAATATTAAAAGAAAATGACTGAAGATAAATATTATATCCATCTCCATACATCGGTCAGTTCTATATGTCAGGCTTTCGTCCCTAGACAGGTAATTTTCAGCTTCATTTCATTCCGTAACAAAACAATTCTTCATCACAGTCAAATAAAGCTGGAATCCTTGGAAACGCTTTTTATCACCACCTCTTGTTTCCTTAAAATAAAATAATTGTGTACACTGTATGACATTATCTCAGGAATAAAATACTAAATTGGACGTTTTCCGCTATGCACGTTTTAAATTGATCGTAACCGTATTTATGATGAAAGGCTTCAGATATGTAAAAATATAATGAATATATTCGTTACCCGACACTTCCTTATGTAATCTACCATTCAGGAATTATATGTAACGTAATATTTTTGTGTGGTCAATTATTTTTATGTAGATTTGTATTTTGTATGAGTTTGTATCTTTTTGCACAATCTATGAACAGTGTATAAACATGGGTTTTATTCATAAAATCCCTCAACATTAGTTTCTTTGCTACTCTGATTCTTACATTCTTTGTTCATCTAATTGTAATTAGGATATCATTGAGTGACCAAACGCAGTAACCTTTTTTAAAATAAAACAAAATATTGTGATTCAGCACAGTCGACATTCTCATGATAAATATGTCTACACTGTACACAACAATTTTGACACCCAACTGAATACTATTCTTAGGACGATGTTAACTATGAATAATATTTATTATAATTACTAATCAAAACAGATGTGGGATTCTAGGTTTGAGGAATATGTTGATAAATAAAGAAATATTTTCAATTACTCTATGTTATGCAAATACCACACAAACCATGATTGAAGATGAGCAAATTAAGTTTACGATTTGTAGGCAGTTAATGAAGCTTAGATGTGGTCTTATGTCACAAATTCTATGTATGTAAACTTAATGAATAATTACAATGTCATGTTTGTAGACTTCTAAATTAATGACAAGTTCAGTACATGGATACCTTTTCACCTGGTCGCAAATTGTCGATAGATTTTATTTTAACTTTCTATAATCTTTCTATTTACATTATTAATACACAACAAGAAACTTTTTGAACAAAAAGGCCTTTTTTCATATTTAACACCCCATAGTATATACCGAATTCTAGGTGTGTAGACATACAAACTGACCTTAAATTTTTTTAAAGTACCTTGGGCTCTGTCAGCAAAAATAAATCCTATCACCACTTATTGTATATTGTATATTTTTACCCAGGCAAAGCAGCATTTTGCTGCTAGTATCATTTATTTTTTTTAATGACATATAAGCAAAGGGATACTTTTAAACATTTAAACTTAGTTTGTGAAATTAATATACATAAACACGTTAATTACATTAAATGAAAACTAATTTCAAACCTTATCTGACCAAATCATTACTAAAATTAAGAAAATTTTATAAAAATGCATTTTAGTATGGATAATTTATTATGCTTACTATTTGTGCTTACTTATATACTTATAATGCTTATTATTATTTTTAACCGTACATATGCCTTTAGGAAGACATTTGATTTCAGGTCATTCTCTGCAATATAAGGTTATGATATGATTTGCAAAAGTTGCATTAACTTGTAAGTACATAAGAACCACACATTTCGCTTAACAAAATTGTTTGCAGCAAACATGAAGATTTTCGGAGCTGAGGAACTAAATTTTCAACATCTTTTATCAGCTGGGTCAGACACAGGTCATTGGGTTGACTGATACTAACCATTATCAGAACTCATGATTTCCAATTCCTCAGTCAATACGATGAGGCTACTATTGTTGCATTTATTTATGTTTTCCTTAGTATGGTGTATTGTTTGTTGTGGTGTTCTCCACCAAGTAAAGGGACAAAGTAGTGAGCCAAATTTAGTTCGAAGATCTGTTGAAGATGACAATAGTGATACAGACAACTCGGATACCCTTTGTTTTTTTAGAAGAGTTTTGTTCAATGCCACAACTAATACGTATATCGCATCGTATCGGTGTTCTCCATTACTTGTAGATTCTCCTCCTCAGTAACTGGTGAGTTTTATATTTTAACTTGTATAAAACCCCAACTTAAGTCAAACAGCTGTGATTATTCAACGTCGTTGAACTCTGGGTAAAAATAAACTACAGATTGAATATCTGAAAACACAATTAGATTATCCATGGTGCCAAAATCAGACCGATTAAAGACGTGGAAATCCACACAATCTATTAAAAAATATATATATAAAATATACCTTATTTGTAATTGCTAATTTGTTAGAGATTAAAAATTTGTAGAAAAAATTTGATGTTTTTAACCGTTATACATATTTCTATACACATCGAACAACCGAATATATATCCAAATATATATTAACCTTTGCTACTTCTTCATGTACTTTTAAACTTTAATGTAGATAAACTAAATAGTTGTATACTGTACCAAGTTTATAGGCGACATAGGTACAGTAACAAAAAATCTAAATAAAATGCATCATTAGGCATCATTCTTAATATTTAATAAGTAAAATATAAACCATGTGTAACTGGAGCTTACACAAGAAGCTTTAAGGCTTTTTCAACTTTGCAAAGCATGTAATTACACCCTCCTTCCTTCATGGTACCTCCTGCTTAAACTTGGAAATTCCTAACCTAATTAATCTAGAACTAACTCATGTCTTACCTACCACTACAGTAGTAAGTGGTTATCTGTCTGGGGCTTTGGCTATGGATGCTATATTCCCTGATGTGGAGTAAAGTAAAGTGAGTACTATGACTATCCACAGTCCTATTCTGAAAATAAGACAAACTCGTTAATTACAAGGAGAAAATTTTTTTGAACTCCACTACAAACTGTAAGTCCCTTAGTTGTCATGGGCTATTAATTAACAGCTGTGTCTAAGGAACATATTAAGTCGGCTTTAGTCACTAACAAGACTACAAGATTGCGCCACTCATCCTACACTCATCCTTCACTCATATTTGAGTTAAAATACGCACATAGTGGCGTCTTCATCTTAAATAATTGATAATTGGCTTAAGCTTTAGCTTTATATATTATTACAAGATATATATCTTACTAATATCATAAATGTGAAAGTTTGTGCATTTGTTTGTTTGTTTATTTGTTTGTTTGTTTGAAGTTCAATCACGCATTAACTACTAGTCGGATTGGGCTGATAATTGGTGGCTGATAGCTCACATTCCTGATTAACATATAGACATATTCTTATCTCAAAACTCCTTTCTGGCTCCGGCCCAGTGGCTCTAGAATTTCCCATGTTAACCTAATGAGTATTCATATTTAAAAGGAATTAAATAAATTGTTTAGCTGTTTTAACTACACAAGTTGTTTCTATGAATTCAACTGCATTAAAAGGTTATAAGGTTTACCAACAGGGTGCAGCACTATTAATTCTTATTGCATTTATGACAACTTCTAATTTGAACCAAGCAGCAACAAAAAGTTGTGAGATCTTTTATTTTTTTTATTGCTTAGGTGCGGTGGTAGAACTTTATGGCTATGGTTGATGTGCTCTATATTATAGTATACAGTAAATTATAGTAAACCAAATTTTCTTATAACGTACGTGTCCTCTCCCATTGCAAACGCAATGCACGAGTATGACTATATATATTGTTATTGTATACACCAATGAGGGCTAATTTAAATGTTACTAAGTATACTGTGATCATGGCATTAATGTCCGAAACATGTAAGTAAGTAATATAAAATAAAATGTTTTTTAGGGTACTGTGGTATTTTGATATACTTAGTAATATATATATATGATTTCGAATTAGGTGGTGAAAATTAATTCATCTACCTAGTGCGAATAGAGTATCACTGACGCACGTATAAAACTATATGATGCATCTTATCTATATAGAACTTTTATAATGATTTAAATTATATTAATATTTTCTTTAGATTTGCATATATATATATCAATTTAAAATGGCAGAGTACAATTTTGTTTCAAAAAGTTATGATGGTTTTGTAACTTTAAGGATCGATTATTTTTCTTCCACGTCCCCACTCCGTTGTAAAGCACTGGTATAGCAGCTAGTAGTAAGCCTATATAATTACAAAATAGCTTTCTACATATGTATTTAAACAATCATTTTTGTTTCAGAACACGAAGGTGCAAAGAATGCCACTATGGACAATGCCTTGTTTGGAAACATTGCTTATCGTGGTGTATTTTATTGATCTTCCTGGGCTTAGCATTAAAGTGTCAGCGAATCAGTCTTACGTTGACGTTGGTGGTACTATAGTGTTCCCAGATCAAGTTCACGGGTCAAACGTTTATGTGCCTATAGTGTTCCCAGGTCAAGATAACAAGTCAATGTTTTCCCACCCTACAACCACTACAGCAAATGCACGAGTCTTTATAAATGAATCAAGAAATGTGAACGCACTGAATAGATTAAAACCTGCAGAAACCATTAAATCCAATTGCTCATTGACTTACCTTCTTAAGAATGTTAGGAAAATGGAGCAAAGTAAACTTAACAGTTTACCGCAATGTAGTCCTGACAATAACTTGATCTTAGATGAACATAGTGTTACAAAGTCTACGTCTACGACTCCTTCTCCTGCGGATAATTTAGAAGGAATTATCGATACAAAATTTCTTATGGACGTCCCTGAGCGAGATTGTCCAGAAAATGAGTGTAGAGTGGACGGAGAATGCAGATGGTGTGATTAGTTATAAAATGATAACCATAACGAACAAACCTAGTGGGTAATATTCGTGTATCTGTAATATAAGATATAGTATGATGTTTTCTATACTAATTTTTGTTGAATTGTTTTGAATGTGAGTAAAAAACTAATGTGACTAAACGGTTTTTTGTTTTCAATCTTGATTGTTGACGTCATGGTTTATTAAATTTTATGTTCTATGTAATATTTTAAATAGGCCAATTCAACACTTTATTTACAGTATATTATTTCTCTCGCTGGTTCTGAATAATGGTATATGTTTTTACTGAAGCAAAACATTTTTGGGATGGACAAGATTAGTGTGTAAAAAGCAACAATACAGTGATTTATATTCTAGAGATTCCTTCATTCAATTGCTATACTACTTAGAAAAATCGTACAACCGACTTTAATATAATAAAATATTTAATGGTATAATGCATAGGTTGTTATTAAACGCATTTATACTATTAAAAATTCTCATTTCAAAGTAACAACCCGTGCCACTGATGTACAGTGATTTCATGGTAAATTGCAATAACATTTTATGTATATTTTAAATAATTAATTACAAATTGTAATAATGTACTTGAACATTGGTGATGTATTATAGCTAAGTCTTATACTTTACAGCAAAGAGTTTCCAAAACAATTGTACGGACTAATATTGTCATATGAATTAATCTTTATCATTACTTGATAAACGTCAAATTGCGTACGTGTGAGCACATTTGGGTACTTTAGAAACAGTTCTGTTCTTACGCAAATATTTCAAAATAATGCTCTTTAATTTGGCAATTCTTTTAAATTCCAGTAATGCCTATTATTTTCGTTGTAACACTAACACTTAATCAAAATGTAGATAACAGTACATATTAACAAACTCTGAATTGAAAAATAATATATATTGTGCAAAGGTTTTACTGTGTCCATTGAACAAATAAAACTACAAAGGACATGTAAATACTTTTAGGTTTCACGCAATACCTAAACATTTGTCTACAAAGTCATATGATTTGAGAAGTGTTGCAGAAGAAATATCATCCAACTCCAACATACAGTACAGTGGTCATGCATCTTTGAGAGGATCAGTTTATACACAGGTTACACTTGTAGAACACCTGCGCCAGTTCCATTCCCCTAATGCACACTTGAGTTGTTCAAATGTATGTCCACATGCAATATTATGGCAAGAGCCCAACAAAAGTATAAGGGTTGTTTTTATAAACTGGAAGGCAAACTTTTTCTGAAATTAATAGATAGCTAATATTATTTTTGTCATAATGCAGCAAAACCGTATGGTTTCAATACATGCGTTGGGATACTAAATAAGTTGTTTTTACTCCCAGAGAGTGAGGAGGCTATTATAATCAACTAGAGTAAAAGACATTTGCTGTGTATTTTTCAGACTTTCCAATCGGCAAGATTTTTTTTAATATTTTTTTACACGATCCGACATTGTCGTTCTCGAGCATGTTGTACATTGCGCTTTAATACAAAGATAGCTATTAGCTTTAACGAACAATAACTCGATATGTAAAATACTCCGTACTTTAAACAAGTATGTTTGGATAAAATGTTTACTTTTAAACTTTTACATAAAAATATAAATTTATAAATTACATGTGGTATATAAATGAAAATAACACAGTTCAGTACTACTTTACGCTTCTTGGGGGCCCAATGTAAAAGATAAAAATATATTAACTGATTCATGTTGTCACAATAGGCAGTTATTTTAATTCGTTGCTATAATGACCCCAACATATTAATTTATTTTTTACACTGAGCCCAACAGTGCCTCACCCTGATGCCATATGTGTTAGTCACAAATCATTGAACATGTGACAGAAACATCTGTTTATCCATAGATGTAAACCCACCAAAAAGAATACGACTACTATATGAATCAACTTGTTAACGTTTTAAGGGAACAATCTTTAGATATTTTAAACTATGTTAGTATAATCAACTATTTTATGTTATTTGAGAAATACATCATTATATACCACTGGGATCAGCCAATCCTTAAGTAGACAGATTGAGATATTGTTTTTTTTCTTACAGTCATTGTATTCCCTATATCTTGTTTATTTCTTAGTCAGATTATACCTTGAACTTATTATAAATTGACAAGGAAATAAAACATTTATTGTTGTGCAAGTTATAAGTATTTTCTCTTATGGTTTCAAGTATGTAAGAAAGTTTACTTACATTTACATTCAAGTATGATATTTGTTTGATTTTATATTAGTTTTTAGTCTCAATATCGAGAAGAAAATAAAGACAAATAGTAGGCCTAAGCTTATTCATTCTAAACAAGAGCAATTAAGTTTAATTGGTTTTCGTAATAAGTTTTCCTTATAAGGGTTTTTTTTTATTTAAATGAAATATATATATATATATATAAAGGCCAGTTCATGTCTAGGTCTCCAACAAATAAAAACAATCAATGCTGTTTACGGAAAAGTTTCGTTTCACATCGATAATTACACAGTGTATAGTATACTGTGTTAAAAAAAATAGGCTAGCTGTTTTACAAGTAACTCAATATTTTACAGTGAACTAAAAATCAGTATTTAATTTAAAAGGCAGCTTGTGTTAATAAGCTTGTTCAGATTTCTTAAATTACCTACTATAAAAGTACCAATTTTGCATTGTTACATTTATTAACGATTACCATTATTTCTTTGTGCTTAAATTGTTTTAAGTATCTTGTTGTTTAATTGAGTATTTGCACATACACACAGTAAATACTTGTTGCACCTATGCACTCTAAGTATTCAAATATTTTAATTTCTTCATGGTTTCAAATATTTTATGTTCATTGGATAAACAAATTATTAACGTTATTTACTTTCATAGGAAAGTATATTCATGCAGCCTTGAACCGTTTCTCATCTAACTTGTAAATGAATGTTTAATGAGAATCAAGTGTTGGTTTTAATTAATCCCAGCTGCCTATCGAACTTGCATAAGAAGCTTAAACACTCTTGCGAACTTTGCCAGGTATTAAATTACAATCTGCAAACTTTACGGCTTCTTGTCTTCAGCGCATGAGCAATCGAGTGTACAAGTTTGTTTATAAGAATAAATATACAAAATTGTAATTCCTGCCATTATTTGTTTATTAACCATTATTTGTACAGTGGCACCTATGATAATTTTTGCACTACCGGAGGTAATTTGTATTTCTTTAAGAGGGTTCTACCCGGTCAATCCAAGGTGGTGGCTAAACATGATAATGTTTATTATAAACATGCCTCTACGGTACAAGCTCTCTAAAATGATTAGGTTCTACCCGGTCAATCCAAGGTGGCGGCTAAACATGATAATGTTTATAAACATGCCTCTACGGTACAAGCTCTCTAAAATGATTAGGTTCTACCAGGTCAATCCAAGGTGGCGGCTAAACATGATAATGTTTATAAACATGCCTCTACGGTACAAGCTCTCTAAAATGATTAGGTTCTACCCGGTCAATCCAAGGTGGCGGCTAAACATGATAATGTTTATAAACATGCCTCTACGGTACAAGCTCTCTAAAATGATTAGGTTCTACCCGGTCAATCCAAGGTGGCGGCTAAACATGATAATGTTTATAAACATGCCTCTACGGTACAAGCTCTCTAAAATTATTAGGTAAATACTTAAAGAAACAATTACGAAGTTGCAGTTCATCCAGGACATAGTTTGGATCTGTGTGAATATTTTACAGTTTATTTCAAATTGATAAACACTTCAATAATGCCAAGAGGCTCTTTTTGTAGAACTATTTTTACTTGGTAACAGCTGGTGGATGTAACCCTTTCAATTTATGGGATCCCGTGAAGGGCCCTATGTCCGTGGTTCTAGTTGTAGACATTAAATATTTATTCATACAAATTCTGCAGAGGTAAATTATTGGAGGTTAGAATAGTACTAAAATAATTTTGTTTATAATTTAAAATGTAATAATTGATCATCTATATTCTTAACACAACGAAGGGGGTTTCCTGGTACACCCTTTTAGCCGTCAAACTTAACCGATTTTTACATCAATTCCTTCAGTGTAATGTTTACCCACAGTCAGATTCTCAACAAGAGACTGAACAGTTTATGAACATGTATTTTTAACACACTACTTTTCTGACAACTCTGACCTTATTAATTAACGTAGGTAGGCCTAAATCATTTTGCATATTGTAGATCTAAAATCAACAAATTTATTGTAAATTACTAGTTCCCCTCATCAAAAACTGTTTCAACTAACACTATCTTATAAGGTAAATGGGTATTGTGCTTAGTTCATTTTCGGAAACAAGTTGTGGCCCCTTTAAATTGCGCAATCTTGTCTCTTGATAACTTGATAAACCTTTTTGAGAATCTTTACTACTATTCTGATTAGCCAACAATAATTTACAATGAATTGTTATGGCAAATTCTAATAGTTTATGTATTTATTATTTATGATCATAAATTTCTATCTCTCCACAGACGAGTTTCTATTAGAGAATAGAACTAGGCCACGCCAGTATGGCATCCTGAAAATTAAAACCTTTTGATTGTAAAGTTATAACTGAATTTTTGTGATTTAATTTAATTTAATTATTGGAATATTTGTTTCAACCATATCTCTAAAAATAATTTATGGATAAGATTTCTAATGAAAATAGATTGGTTTTTATTTAGGCACAAGTAACCTCGCTGTGCGCTGTAAATTATTACATTCTTCAATCTTGAATCCAAGAATTTTAGTATTTATTTTACAACAGACAAGTTTTAAAATGGTTTTAACAGGTAAATAGTTGCTCTCTACGACTTTGTTATAATATATGTACGCAACATAAAGATGCGTGCGTTTTGAGTCCGCAGTTCTTAACAATAAACAACATCTTGATCCTGAGAGGTACCCCATTAAACTTTTCACTTGAGCTCCCTGGAAATGGGAAGTGCCAACGATTCATGAGAGCTATTTGTTTTTATAATGTGCGTTCCAGAATAAAATAAACGTTTCAGTAAAGCGTTTCTTTATAGACAAATGGAAGAAGGTTGTCTTCAAAGTATTAAACAATTATATTTATTCTACAAAAATATATTATGGTAAATTTTACATTCAAATGGATGTTTGTTTTAGTTTTAATGATGTAAGTTGATATGATAATCGACTTTTTAACAATATTGTTAAGGCTACACACAAAGAAATAATCCCTGACGCGTATAATTATTTATATTCATGTAATTCGTTTGCGTATTGACGATAAATATTATTTATCATAAAAAAAACGTAAACCATACACTTATTTTATAATCTAAAATTTGTATGGTCATCATTATCTATTCGCCATAAACATATTTTTATATTACATCAACTTCTTCTGTTTTGTTAATAAAAAAAATTGGGCTTATAAGTTAAAAGCTTTCTGACAGGTTTCACTATTTCTGTATTACAATAAAATATTTATCCAACAAATGTATAGCCTAGTAGAAATACACTTCTACTCATGACCACGCTTAAACTGTTTCATTAAAAACATAGTGCAATAAAGTCAAACTTAATGTTCTATTCTCATGTTGAAAATTCCATTCAACTGCTACATGAGTAATTAATAGGCAGCCGTAATTTGAATAAGAGGGGAAAAAGTTAGGAGATCGTTCAAAATCCATCTTAGTTCCTGCCACAAACTGTAACTGAGTCGCAAGAGTACGATGGATTGGTCTCTCGGGCTAAAACTATGTCCCTCTACCCTCCATGTGTGAATATATCCGGCGTAAACCATTTGAAACATTGATAATCCTGTTGTTGAGAAGATGCAGTTTCTGTTGCAGTATTAGTTTAATGATGTAAAATGGACAATTATGTTGCTTATACCGTATATTTATTACAATAATCTCTATCTACTTTCTGGTTTATTCATGTTTTACCTGGAGTTTTCAAACAAATCAGTTCAAGATTTGTCGTCCACAAGAATAACATTAAAACTTTAAAGGCTTGTAGAGCACAACCTTTTGGTAAAATCATTATGAAAACTGTTTGACTTTCCTATTATAGTACTTAAGAATGAGTATAGTGAGTTTCAGCCTTTCATTTTTTCAGTACATTTTTAGTTCATTAATAACTGAACAGGGAAATTGAAACCCTTTGAATGTCTAACTCAGGACTAGGCGATCAATAACCAATCATCAGTGAAAAGATTTACCTAGAATAGTTGCAACAAATGAACTACAATGCCCAACAAGAAATTAACTTATCCTTTCAGGAGCATTTATTCATAGTGTAAAGATTTTGTTGGCTGCAACATAATACACTGACTCTCTTGAAAAAGCACCTTAACTTTGCTTCAAAAATAAATTCCAAAAGGGTCTTTTGGCAAGTTAAATATTATATTGTACCAAAAAATAATTTTTTAATATAAGTTTAAATATTTATATTATTAAATTTGTTAGTTACAAAAATAACAACATAATATACAACACTCATAAGAACCATAACTGCAGCTATCAATAAAAACTACAATATATCTAGTATGAGAGATTTAAGATGGATTAAAAAAATATTTGAATAAATTAAATTGAGCAAATACTGCTGTAAGTGTGATGATACAGTATATTAATGATATTCCTTTGATCAAAGCTCGGCCCCCAAGTACTTAATCATTAAATGAGTGAGTGAGGTCATTGAATTTGATACGTTTTGCAGATTGGTTTATTGGTTACATGTTTTATTCAAGAAATTATTATAAAACTGTAAACATGTTTCAATCAAAATTAGTCATACAAACAAACTTATATTTTATATTTTGATATTTATTTGTTCTTGCTGCAACTGTGTTTTTTATTCTATGTTTTTTGTCACAAAAAGGTCTCAGTTTGTTGTTGTTGTTGTTGTTTATCTTTGAATAAGTAACTGGTTGATAATGAAATAGTGTGAACCATTTAGGTTCTTCCTATACAGTTGCTACTTTCATGCTTATATTGGACTATTATAATATGCTCAATAGTCATAACAAATGCAACTGGTATGAGTTAAAATACGCATAAAACGCCGGTTACCAACTGGATACTACCCGCATTGCAATGGTGTTCGACATAGCCTAATCATAAGGCGTCTTTTATAGCCTTAAATATTCTCTGGCTACCAACACAAAATATTTACTGCATCCTTCTTTTTATAAAATTGTATTTGACCTCAGTTCAAGAAATTTAAAGCCTCCTTACAATGTAAAATATAAATATAATTTATACAACATTTCTTTACACTATCAGACATAAAAACATGTATTTACCAATTACTATTAAACCTTCAAAAAACGATTTGAGGAATTTCCTATTATGGATGACAAATAGACATGTAAACTTTGCAAAGACCTTAAAATTTAGTTCAGTGGATATTCTATTTTATCAACTTATAATGAGTTATCCCTTTAAAATATAGTGATTAATAGGAGTATTGTGTATTTAAGCTACTGATAGTTTGGTAGTTATTTTATAATTTAAGAGATTAAGACTTGAAACCATCGACAGTATATTTGTTAAACCCGTAAACTCTAATATCAAAACTAAATAAGAATTTTATTATTTTTTTAATTATCTTCATCTCTAAAACATCTTATAACACTTAACGTCATCTGATACTCATCTGAAACTCATCATAGAATCATCTAAAAAAGAGAATCGCAAAGCTTATAGTAATTATTGGAAGTCGAATTGTTTGCAAGATATTTTTTAACATATTTGTTGGTAATGTGGCAGAAGAAAATTTGGTCTTTCTGTAGTCTAGGGCTTCCCAAGGTAAATTCAAAATAATCCAATCCTGAGTCATATCTTCTAGGTTTCATCTGAAAAATTTACGAAAAATGTAAGTAGTTTTTTCGGTTTTATATGAGCGTAACTAATCCGTGTGAATACTAAATTATTCCCTAATGTGGGAAATTCGCTAAAACATATCAAGGAAGCATCTTTAATCTAAGACATTGATATGGTTCTGAAAATGTAACGTGCCTCTAGTTTGACACACACAATAGTTTGGAGAATACACAGGAACAATTGTAAAGTGTAGTCCACATTAGTCCCTTGGTAGTCTCAGGTGGGTTTTAAAAGCGAGATTGTACATAAACTCCGCCGCCCTCAAGATACATGACTACGATTTGTCTCCCAAACATTCCTGGATTACTTGCCGGAGTAGGTAAATGTTTTGTTTTTATTTTACCCTTATAGATCTTTAGGTTTACAGGAGAGACAAGCATAATTGTATGTGTGTTTAAAAGCTGTGCTTAGTAGCATCATTGACTTTATATCTACACTAATGATCTACATCTAATGAGGTGTCACTTGATAGGGGTTTCTATTGAAACATTTTTAGTTGTCCTCCGAATCCCCCCTTTTGGGGGGACACTCAAAAATTTTAAATGTAAACCCCCTTCAAGTGACACCTCATTTTGAAGTGTTTACAAAAACTTAAGGAATGGTGAAAACCAGAGCTCGCTATCTCTTCTCTTTCCAAAATGGCAACCAATATTAACAATTTTACCATTGACTTTCCACAACATTTGACGGGCTACCATTTTAGATAGAGAAGAGATAGCAACCTCTAGTTTTCACCATTCTTTACGTTTTTGTAAACACTTCAAAATGAGGTGTCACTTGAAGGGGGTTTACATGTAAAATATTTGAGCTGCCCCCCAAATCCCCCCTTTTGGGGGGACACTCAAAAATTTCAAAATGATAAAATGAAACATCCTGCTAAAATTGCTCGACCACCAAAAGGATATCTCTGTATATCTACATGAAAAAATATTAGAGGGGGGGTCTTGACTTTTTATTCACCCTGTATGTAGATATAAAGTCAATGCTAGTAGGCTATAGAAACTTAGTTTTAGTTTTAATGTTGCTGTTATTGAGATTTTGTTAAAATATAAAACACGTTTTTTTTTCTGTGATACATCGTTAAGCCCTAGTCATTCTATCTTTTTCCTGGACCAATAACAATTTCTTCACAAATTATCTTATTGAAGAACATTAAGTACTACCCAAATGGTATTAGAGTGTTAAAGAAAATTTTTCAGTGATTTTGCCTCCAGGTTAAGAGATTCTAATGGCAGGTTCTTCCCGAGAAGATACTTCAAGAAATGACACAGTCTAATGTGAATGACCCACGCAATTTGATCATCATTCCATAATAGAATTGTCTTTCATTCTCAAGGTTTACCTTTAGATTGACGAAATTGGTAGTCTACGTATACACAGAATAAAACACACAACAACCAAATCATATAACCATAGCGGATATGAGCAATAGACAATAAAAGAAGACAGCTGTTGATAAATATAAAGCCTGAAATAGTAGTTTACGCAAGTTAAGTTAGTCTTTACGACACGAGTAGAAAATTTAAATTTAAAAACTTCTACGAGTGTCGTAAAGACTATTAACGCGAGTTGCGTACACTACTTTACCTACGCCAGTTTTTAATTACTAATAATCTGGTTTTAATTACTAAAAATCACTACTCATTACTTCTTAGAGAGGTTATGTTTTCGTTTATTGTCAGTGCCAATGAAAGGAAAGTGATGCAACGACTTATTGTATAATCAGCTGATTTCCTGTAATTACGTGTTTGTAAAACTTCGTTAAAAAAATACGTTACCTTTTTCAGGGAATGTGTTCTGCTAGCAGCATTCTTAACATAAATACTGCTTCAGGTACAATTAGGAAAATTTTGTATTTTGTTTTTGACAACTGAATGATTATAGTGAAACAGTTAGATCTCAGCATCGAATATTATAGAATATTATAAACAGTTTGTTCTCTCATTTCCATCTCGTTAACTTCACCTTCACTAACTGACATTATTAAATCAGTTTAATCTACCTTCCTTTAACTTCCACAAACTTACGTTAAGAATACGCGAGTATCAACAGGAACAAGTCAGATCAACAATTAAATTGGTCAACTGATCAGCTGATCAGCTGATTAGTTGACGTTCGAAGCATTACAATTTTAATTCTTTTCTCTCAATACTTGAACCTCATTGGTCCGTTACCCGTGTTGATATGAGAAAAACTATGCTGATATGAAATGAAACTATGCTGATATGAAAGTAAACCGCTGTTAAGTGAAACTTTTCAATTCTAAGAACTGAACTGAAATGGCTACTTTAAAAAACGGTCGTAGGTAAAGAATATATCATTTCTCAAAATCTCTCTTGGAAATCGTAATATAATTACATTTATTAAAATTATTACATATCTTCATCTTTCTGAACATACCGAGAACATGAATCCGAATATATTTGACTTAACAGCAAAGACTAGTCTTCATTATAAATTGGTGAATGATTCAATCAGTGGTAACTAATTCAACTAAAGTGCTGAAGCAATAATCGGAGGGGGTCAGCGGCTTATTCAGCGTTTTGCCAGACTTAATCATCCGTAAAAGCTCGGCCATTAATTAATCTGTATTTCGATTCAATTCCAAGTAATATAATCAATTTAGAAGTTATATATATGTAAAAGGTTGGTTCTTTTTTTACATAAATACATTTTTATTAGCTGAGAGAATGGTATAATATACCATTATGCATATTATGCAAGAAGTTTTCTTTTGAAAATATTTATTGAGACTACCTGCACGTAAGAACAATATTTTAGTTCAACTTACTGAACTTTTACGTATACTATTACCAAAACCAATCGTCTACCACAAGATTATACGATAGTGCACAAACACGAGTTCTTAACTACTTTAGGCTAATATTAGTTTTTCTATACTGAAACGAAAAACTAATAATGTTTATACATTTGTTTACAAAACTCAATGTATACGTACATTAAATGTTAATATTGTATGTGGTCATGACACATTCGTTTGTAGTTCAAACGTTGTCTAATCATGTATCCTAGACCTCATGGTGTCAAATTGTAAAATTATTCACCATGTTGTATATGTTTTGAAATCTGTATCAAGGAATGAGCGTATACAATTGTAAATGGCACATTTTTCAATGTTTGTCCTGACTAAACAGAGCTACAAACGTAAAACACAAACAGCCCTGCAACTATCAACCGACTGACGTACACGTGCAACTGGTATGGTTAATGTTTTAATTTCAGTAAAATATTTGTCGTATTTTGAGGGGTTTAAGGTCACAAAAATGTTTTTTCAAATTGTAATGTAATGGTTTAATCATAGTAAATAATTAAAGATGACCGCTTTGCCAAGGGCAAGACTTCTGTTAAGAAATCTATGTCCACTTCAAAAGCACCGATAGTCTTTTACAATTGGGTCGAGTCCTTATTCGACGGTTCGTACTGTACATAACCTGAAGTACACAATTAAATGTGGATACTCTAAAATGATTCGTTTATTGGTCAAAAAGTACTGTTTCAAATCAGAAATCGTGCTTATCTAATTGGGATTTGCCATACGATTCTTTGCTTGCTGATTACAATGCTTTGTGCTTGAATGCACACTTTTCTACCGCTGGAAGGGGAACTGGGCTAGGAGGGAGACAAAATTGGTTGACAATTGAGCGAGAGGGTCAGTACAGTAATACCAGAGCCATGGACGGACGAGTGCTACAGCTGTTAGTGTTATCTGTTGTGATCACCGCAGTATGGGGCGTCGACAGAGCTGAGATAGCCTTCAAATCCTGCAAGACTCCTTCTGGTGAGTTCTTTGCACACGAAGCGAGAGTAATCTGCACTGCTTAGTACTTGTTAACCTTGAGTCCCTTGAAGATGAAATAAGAGTTTGCTTTGTAGTAGTCACTTGAAACTTCCTTCTGAGAAAATATTGTCTCTGTATTGACTTGAATTGAGGTACAAGTCCGTTGTGTGGATTATATCTAGGAAAATCTAGAATTTATATTTCTATCGTAGCCTACTATATGATTCTGTTTTGTTGTGTTGTAACTTTTTTGCTGATAACTGACTATAGTGTCATGCACACAATGGCCATTCTACGTTTAGTTTATTACTGAAATCTATTTTTTTTACACTTCAGTCAAAACTGCTATTAAAAATAAAGTTTCACTTGATGGGGACATATCAATATACCTATGATTATAAATTTGAGTTTTCTTTACTCTTATTATAAATTAATTACGTCAGCTCTAAAATAGTACAGTGTACTTGATATTTTAAGTAATCTTTCTGAAAACCTAATCAAATGGCAATCAAGTTATGTAAACTACACAGTATTAGCGATTGCAGTTGCATAGAAATAAAAACTGGATAAGTTGATTTCGGAGTGCTTATTTTTTAGTGCAAATAGATTTCAATATGGCAATTATGGTAAACGTATCTCTTAACATTTAGTATACTTCAATCGTCTAATGTATTTCGAGTTGAAAAGGTACGATATAGAAAAAAGGGGCAATTATCATTTACGTTATCTCCACATATTGTGTTACCCCAGTAAAGTAAAATTATTGCAATGCATTCCCTTAAAAAATTTATTTAAATTTTTAAAACGTTACATAGTTTCAACATAAATAACTTTTAAGAGATTATACTTTTTTACGAACCTTTTCGTATTTTGCAGGGATTCCAAAATGCAAGGTCAAGACTGTCTTCGTCGAGGGATGTCAAAAAGAAAGAACCCATGACATGAATCGTAAGTAGTAGTATAGAGATGATGAGATTACTGATTGTAACTGGTTGCACTTATGATTAGGGTAACAGTGCATCTCATTCTAAATATATAGAAATTTAAATATTTAAATATCGTACAAATGATAGTTTTTATGTTATAAACCATAAGCACCTTTAGTATTTATTGCATGGGAAAATATTCCATATTCACAATCAAAAAAATTCTACACAATTCAAATATTTTGTGTTTGGAAGTAAAAACGTAACGGTTATGATTTATATAACTACCCCTAAACTTTGCTATCTAATGACAAATACTTGCTTTCCCTTAGCTTTAAACCATTGAATGATCTAAAATCAAATTATTGGACTGTTTAAATAATTTTGGTAATTAAAGGTAAAGAACTAATTTTTTAACACTATCTCTAAACAAATCCAAATTAATAAATAGACACCTATTTATACCGGACACAAATAAAAAAAACTACGTAACTCGTATGGTAATATAGTACGATGTTTTTTTTTCATTTGGTGATATAAAATGCAGATAAGTATATAGTTGCTGATATATATTATCTTTTAAGAAATAAATAAATATGAAACGGTTGATGTTAAATACTCGACTGTGTGCTCTTTTTGTTATTTTTGTTTTAGTCCTGTAACTTTTGTCCATGATTTTAACAAGAAAATTGCCGTGAAATTTCATTCAACAACCTAACATTTTCTTTATGCCAAACGCAGGATGAAGAATTACACAATATTATCCATATTCTATTGATGTTTAGATATTCCTAGAGCAGAGACTAATGCAGAAAACTGGAGAAGAGGACTCAGAAAATCTACCTGCGATGTAAACAAGAAAACACAACTCAACTTCACAATCGCGATACATTCTGGTATGTAAACTGTTAACCTCTAAGATGTGTAACAGAAATATTACGCCAAAGACCCATTCATGGATCTTAACTACAGTTTACCAGCTGGTCAATTGATGGTTGGGCTTTTGATTGTCACGAGCCTCAATGATGATCTTGACTAATGAAACAGCTGGTCGTTTTCTGTGATAAAGCTAAACAAGGCATCTCACTCTATTCCTCACTCATTCTCGAACTCATATGTGGGTTGAACGAACCACGAACCCAGTTGAGTTCTAATTTTAATTGGCTGTATGTGATTATATGTGATGATGACTCTTTTCTTCGTTTAATTTAATGATAAAGCACTCTGTTATTTTGTCACATCAACATCACTAAATGCTTTAAGAAGTCTGAAATAAATAACACACTTAACTATGTGACAACTAAGTAAATAATTATTGGCAGTGTAATTATGCATTGTCCTTATCGTAAAGCTTACCTTTTTAGCTTAATCAAATTCGTGATGGAAAATTTGACAATAATCCCTCAAATTACAAAAACTTGTGATCTAAAAGAATGAATTTCACACATTATCTGGTAACTTTTATTATTAACTTGACTAGTGTTTAAAATCTAACCACACGACGTTCCAGGTTTCTCGACAGACCGGCTGTACAGTCAGTTCACCCTAGCAGACACTCCTCGACCAGACTGTACCCCAGAGGGTGGTGCGAGCCACTGCCTGTTCCGAGAGTATGTGAGGAACGGCTGTCGAGGCAACACATGTCCTATAGGAGTCGACATCACCCAGGAGGTCACTGACTACATCAAGATCAACCCGGACTCTAGTATTGCTAAGGTATTACGATTTTTTACGTTGAAATTGCTTCCGTAGTTTTGAGCTTTGAAGCTTAAACTTTATGCAAGTCATGTGCTGTCTGGCAAGACTGTTCGTATTAACAACTATTTGACACATTGAATGTCATAAAATAAATGTTGACGATATTTTCACGTTGTTCTACACGAGTTCATGCAATGTCGGTGCCTAAAAGATTTACCCACAAGGTGATTTCTAACTACAAGGGCGGTTTTTAGCGTATTTCCCTATTCCCTAGGAAGTAGCTATCACCGTGAGTGGCACGGTAAGACCTAGGCCCGGGACCAATTTACTTTTTCATTTTATGTCCCCAGAGGCCAAAAACACCATTCACTCAAATTTATACAGGGTGATTTGTACTCAGTGTGACAAAATTTTTTTGGCGTAAGTACAAAGTAAATGAAGTGTGATGATGCATATCAAATGTTCCAAGTCTCAAAATTAGCGTCCCAAAAAATTATTTTATGTTTTTCAAAAATAACCATGTTTTTAAACTTAATACAGCGATTTCTCAATTACCTGTATATGGATTTGAGTAGATAATGTCATTTTCGTGTTCTACATTAAATTTTGAACAAGAATAATAGAAAATGACGGAGGATCAGTCGTAAAAACTCCATTGTAAATAGATTCAAAGATAAAAATTAAGATGTTTGATAAAAATTTTAAAAAACAATGGTTTATTGCATTTTTCACACCCTGTATACAAGAAAGTGTCGGAATATGTTAAAAACTGCGCCATTTTATAAGCTTTCCAACGATATGCTACACTATTGAGGTTTATGTCTGCTTATGTGCGCTTTAATGGTTTGAAGACTGCAAAGCATGGTGTATTTAACATTTAAAACATAGAAAGTCGGCATGTATTAAGCAAAAGTTGTATTTTTGATTCAGCTTGAACAGTAAAAACAGTAAAAAGTTCCCTGTTTTCTGGTATTCAAACCACTCTTACAAACAAAAAAATATCTAAACCTCAATAACGTAGGTTATGGTTGGAAAGCTTATAAAATGGCGCAGTTTTTAACATATTCCGACACTTTCTTGTATACAGGGTATGAAAAATGCAATAGACCATTGTTTTTTTAACTTTTTATCAAACATTTTAATTTTTATCTTTGAATCTATTTAAAATGGAGTTTTTACAACTGATCCTCTGTCATTTTGTATTATTCTTGTTCAAAATTTTATGTAGAACACGAAAATGACATTATCTACTCAAGTCCATATACAGGTAATTGAGAAATCGCTGTATTAAGTTTAAAAGCATGGTTATTTTTGAAAAACATAAAATAATTTTTCGGGATGCTAATTTTGAGACTTGGAACATTTGATATGCATCATCACACTTCATTTACTTTGTACTTACATCAAACAAATTTTGTCACACTGAGTACAAATCACCCTGTATATATACACGTCCGTAAACGTCCGTGAACATGCTTAACTTGAGTAATTTTTGTCCGATTTTGTTGAAATTTGGATTACAGTCGAAGGTGGGATAAACTTGAAGGAGTTCGCGAACTAGCATGGGAACGGGGTTTTACGGGGGGTTTTGTGGGGTAAAAATGGGTTTTCTAATTTTTGACCCTCACAACACAGAATTTCCCAATTTATCTCTAGACCTTATTAAAGAGTTTAAAAAACAAATAATTTACTATATCAAAGTGTTTTGTACGGTTATTAGAGTAATGGAGAAAGTTCATAAACAATTTAAATTAAAATACCCATGTTATTCTTATGGAGAATATTGTAATGTTGTTGTTTGCTTGTTTATGGATATATTTTGATCAAACTTGGAAATATTTTTTATACCAAGATATTAATGTTTTACTAAATAACACACTTCATAAGTTTCCTTGTAGCAACAAACCTAGGTACTAGTTAAACCTAATGTTATTTATACTCTGAAAAATGGAAATTCACGTAGTCGGCAGGTTTGCTGCGGAGGGGGCATTTTAAACTAAGAGCTGTTTGTGCTTATAAATCCGAAGTTCGGGGTGCCTTGCCACTTTCTGGTATCATTTTTGAACATAACGACACCGACACCATATGCAGCTCTGTAGCTGACATGTACGCTTCGCTTTGTGTTTTTGACATTTTTAAACCGTCGATTCACCTACCGGGTGGATTCAATGGTTGAAGCAATTTTAAAACACACAGCGAAGTGTAGAAGTGAGGTAAGGATCCTCGTTGCCGCGCCCAAGTATACTACTGATTTATACGCAAAAACGTTACTCAGTTAGTAAAAAAAAAAAAAAAAACACCCTCGTATAGTGGTATACAATAGTCTTGATTATATAAAGACTACATAGACGTCAGACTATAGTACCTGGGGACCAAGCCACAGCTTGGTGTACTTTATTTTTATTGTAATAGCAATTCAAAGGAAACTCACGTTTTGTTTACAACTAATTTTGGCTTTTAACATTTAAGTTTCAGTGGAATTTCAATTTATTATGATGTAAATAACCTGGCAATCTTTGATACATTCATTTATTTATTTTGTGTGTTGTTATTTCTTCACCAGCATGGCATCCCATAAGGTCCATGCATTTTTTATTTAATTTAAATTCATTTTTTGTGCTTATTTTTGAGCCTATTTTAATTTATAAAGGGATTCTGTACATCTACAGGAAAATATATTTCCAACAGTGTGCGTAGATTTTCCCTGCGATGCACACGAGCTGAGGAAAAAGGTTTTAAAGAAACATGCTTGCCTATTAATAGATGGATAGTTGCTGTACTATAGGTTGAAATGTATTGCAATCAAACAGTTTCTAATGCACAAGTCAATAAGTAAGTTATTTCAAAATACTTTCACATGTTTAACGTGAGTTTCTACCCAGTCTGGTTTGAGTACAATTCAATTTCGGTTTTAATCGAGTTTGTTTGTGTTTCAGAAAGCGTACAACGTTCAGTGGAAGCTGTGGAACAAGTCAAACAAAAAGGAAAATTGTTGCTTCGTATTTAAGCTCCGTTACTTCTGAGAGCGCGAAAGAATGTCTGAGCACTTGATAATCAAATTTAACTACAATAAAAATGTGTACGAATTTTATTTGTAACGAGTGTTGTTTCTTATCACTATGATGACATGATTGAAGATTTAAATGTTATAAGTCAAACATACATATTTACTGTAAAATATTGTAACTTTCTACTTAGAGCATAACTAAATACTAAAATAAAATTATCTTGTAGATCGAAATTAGTTTAAGGTTAAAATAAGAAGAACACACGCTTTTTAAGCATAAGATTTCAATTGCATAACCCTTGTAAGTATTTTTAACGATATGAATATAAACAAAATATTTAAGCATTATAAAGTGTTAAGAAATAACACTTTTTATAACTCTAATTTTAAATGTTTTGCATGTTTTATGTTATTAGTATAATGTTCAAAGGCAATTAACGTGTATTTACTATCTGGTATTTGCTACTTTATTACTCAAAAACAATAAAACCCTACAAACTTAATTCCAATGAGTCGGGAAAGTGATGTTCTCCAGTTTAATACATATACTAAACATAGCGATACATTTGGATGATATCATGGCAATGAAATTAGGAGTTTCATATAGGCCTAGTTGTTTATGATATTCAAATATGGAACAAATATTCGTTTTACAAAACGAGTATATCTCATTTTTAAACATTTATTATTTAGATCCTTTACAATATTTCTTGGGACCGTTCGTCCCTACTCGCCTTCTTACCAAGTCTGGTTAACAAGTATAACATTTACAATGACAAGTTATATTTAGCTTGTTGAGTTTTACCTAATGATTATTCAAGAGTATTACGTTTATAATTCAATAAGGAAATGCTGGTGATAAAAGAGTGTAGCACTATAAAATCTTACGAATTGTTAAACAACTGTAAAGAATCTTCAAAACCAAGAGTACACAATATTTTAGCCAATTTATAGCAATATTTATTAAACTTTAATAAATAAACAAACTATGTTCAAGAGAGCAAAATCCGCTTGCATAAGTAAGTTACATCATTCATCATCTTGGCCCAACGAACTCAATATAAAGAAAGAGTGATGTTCCTTGTTAACCCTAAATATCTTAACAGATCAAATCAATCAGTCCTTCCAAATGTTTCTAGTTTAAACATTCCTCACTAGACTGTTTATTGGTGTAGTCTTTTGTGCAAACATTGTCTTGACACATTTGGTTGCCTTCTTTTGGTCATCGATCTCTCTGTAGTAATAATACAGATCGATGCTTTCGGTAGATTTTAGAAATGTTTGAACAATTTATTTTAATATTATAGATAGGCTTACAACCAATGTTTCCACTTCTACCTTGCAATGAGTTACCAATGCCGATGACTAGATTTTTTTTAGTCCACCAGCAGTATAGTGTACCTCATTTAACAACACTGCATATCTTCAACATCCAAAGAATTGTATCAAACGAGAGAGTTGCACAAAAATACAATTTAAAACTACATAACACATTTAAATTTGTTAAGATTAACAATAATTTTTATTTTTTCAACGTTGGAACTAAGGTACCAATCAATGTCTATTTATTTTGGAAACCGATAACATTGTCTATTATTAGTTCTTGTTACTTACTTGCACATCATACGATGAGAATATTAATTACCTTACTTAATTTTGTCACTCGCCTATTGGGTCTGATGATGATAGGAGTGCCCAATCGAAATCGATCACCATTACCATCGTTTCTATATATTTACCGTCTTAAGTGTAAATATATGTTTCAAGTGCTATTAGACGCATTTTTAATTATTATCCGTAAAATTATTACAGTAACACGTATTATGCTGATTAATCATACTTTTACCTGCATTATTATATAACAACTTGGTGTTTGTGTGTGTGTGTTTTTTATAATATGTTTAAATGAAGTTTATTGGTTTGGACATGCTTTGAAACAAAAACCTCGAGACTCTAGAGGGTATAATATTTAAATGAGCTCTATTATTTCATGATTGAAATTGAAAGTAGTTTTGCATTGATCCCTGTTAAAAGTTGGTTTGGTAAGAGTACGACGATTTTCGTATCCATTTAATAGTTGTGAAATATTTATAAGAGTAATGAACACTGCCACAGAAGTCAACAATGGACACAATGCTAACAAGATCTAGCAAGTCGAACGGTAGAGGAACATTATTGGTTAATTTCCGACCACGGCCTCCAATATCCGATGTCCGATTACCAATCGTACATAACAGATGATAATGGTGCTAATTGCATTAGGCCAAATATTTGTCTAGTAATGTTGCTGGTGCAATGTATTTTATACATTTGTACTGGTACATTAAAAACTTTTGAAGTATTAATATGTTGATCGAAATGTTGATGAAAATCTCATGTAGCCTTCATGTTTGCTATAAAAATCATGAATGAATGAACGTTGATATGTTTCGAATACTCTAGTTTGCATTAATTAAACTCCATCACCATAATATGCTAGTAAATACAATTTGTACACTTCATTAGGGACAATAATACTAAAAGTATGATAAAACACGAACAAACAACAAACCAAACAGATGTTTGCTGTTAATGCAATTAATGCATTTTTTATACTGTGCGTATGGATGCATATGAGGCTGAAAATCATAGATCTGTTTTTATTGTGTTTTTTTTTTTACTATAAGAACTAAGCAACCAATTTAGGAACTCTATAACCATCAGACTAATCATGATAAAACGTGTGTTAAGTATATTGTATCATGTGTTAATTGATTCTTGTATAAAGGTTTGACAAAATTCGCAACCCCATAGTGTTGGAGAAATAGAGAATGATTTTGTTGTTAATATGTATCAAGTTGCTTACGAGGTGACTAGGATTTTTATAAACTGATAACTGTTTATAATAGTTACTGTCACCCAACAAAAAATATGTAACATTCTGCGAGGATTGTAGCATATTGTCACCATATTATAGGTACTAAAACTGCGATCGACACAATTTATAAAGTGATAATATTTATTTAAAATAATTTAATTGTATATGACATCAATATACTTATTATATCTATTATGTCTGGTTTAAATTAAAGTGACAATTTACTCTACACATAAATACTAGTAAATTTTTAATATTTGTAATAGTTAAAACGATTGTCACTTGACCCAAAAAATGTTATATCGACTCGCTGACGTAGTAGGAAGCAGACATGTATTTCGCTTCGCAGCAGCTGATATCATTATCAGCTGACTTGAATTGGTTAGGGTCGTTGCACTCTAATGAATGGTTAGGCAACATTTTGAGCGTGTGTCGAAAAAAATATAATGCAGCTGTCTTAAAGATGTTTTACCATTGATTTAAGATATTGCAAGTTTGAAATTTGAAGCTGGCTTTGGCGTATTTTATGTCTGATTATGTCTAATGCTAAAAACTCTTTAAAAAATCAAATAAAACATTGTGCAATGATTCATTAAAGGTTTGATGACAAGTTGGATTAAATTATTTAATTTTGGGTTATTTGCCAGCCTAATGGCTAGCCTCTTGGACTTCAAAGCGAAAAAGAGTAAGTTCGAGTCCTGGAATATTCATAGGAATTGTAGGGGTTTGGACCGCTTTCCTTCAAAGGCGTTTGTGATTCTTTCAATAAAAACTGCACTGTTAAGCAACAAAAAAAGAAGACAAACTAAACAAAGATGAACTGTGCCTAGGTACAAACAATTACTATGTTCTTATACGGGGTTGTTGTCAACCGATGTACCGGCCCTGGCTTAAAAAGGTTTCGTTTAATGTTACAGAAGGTATTGTTTTGGATCTTTGAACACAAAAAAAGTACTATTGGAAATGTCCCTAAGTTTTAAATGTAAATATTATTTGATTTAGAATGTTTATTTTTCATGTGGTGTACCGTTGATTATATAAACTGTATTACATTTTATAATTGAGAGTGTGGAAGATAACAAATGTGTCATACTCCGAGGAGAAGTGTGGAAAGAGCTTCACCAAATTTGTGCAATATGTTCGATTTTTGCAGACATTAAAATAAACGTAAACATATAATTAAATGAGTATTTATTTCAAATATATTTAATTTGTATATCCATGATAACATGTTTGAGAAACAGCAGATTTACAATGGTCCACTCAATGTTAGTACTGTATTGGGATGTTGAAACAGCAGCTGTGTTTCTTGTCCTTGTTGTTCCAGAGTTTCCACCTCAGCTGATAAATCTTCTGGAAAATATCAGCGACAAAAATTATTTAATACACGTTATAAACGATAATATATTTTGTATATTAACACATTCTTCTCATCCTATCTACAAGTCCGAAGCTTATTTTTGCGTAATTCATATTTCGCACATATTGATTTTCATAGTGAATTGAACAGGGTTTGACTTACATTTTAGTTACAATAATTCATAGATAAACAACAGTTTAAGAATATCGATATCTGGACTAATATTTTTCAAATTTACAAAACATTAAAACAGAAGACATTAGTGTATTCTAGTGTGCAAGAACATTTCATAAAATGATTGCCTTTAGTTAAAATATAACAAGAGCAAAAAAATAAACAATTATACTATTAGTAAAGTTACAATATAATAATGTAACAAAATGCGATGATGTCATGCGGACTGCAAATGCTATTTAATAAGGGAACAATAGGATTCCGTACAAATATTCGCAGGATATCGTACGTAGCTCACCTTTAGATGGGTAATACCATCACCTAACAATAAATTCCAGATAATATACAACAAATAAGTACAATAATATACAAAAAATACGTCCAGTAAATTTCAGCTGGTGTCTGTCAATAAGATATAAACATCCCTGCTATATCATTCGCTTGTTTTGACAGTTCAGAATACGTTACAAAAATTATACGATATGCTCATTAATCTTTCACCTAGAAAAGTGTATTTAGTGGTACGAGTACACGATAAGCATGATTATTTAATTCATTCCCTTATTTAAACGTTACAAAATCACGAGGTATTTTCAGAACTCTATTGTCAAGACATTAATTCTATCTATGAAGGGTGTCGCACTTCTATTTATCATGTTACGCTAAATAATGCCAACCTCTATAACTCACCCTGTCGTTGATGGGTCTCTTGGCAACTTCTGGATTGACGAACAAGGAGGTCTCGTACCGTTGTTGCCGTCCGGACTGTAGGGGACATTTGGTGTGAGAGCATCCGGATTCCGGACCGATGTCAACAGGACACTTGGCATCGTCCTGGATACGCCAACAGTCTTGCATGTCCGGCACGGTGAACTGGGACCGGACTGTGTCGATGTTGTAGCCTAACAGGGGTAAAAATAGTTATAGTAAGTACAGGGTGGGGCAATGAAAGCACCCAAATGTATAAGTAGTACAAACTCAATAATATTCACCCTATGGATATAAATAGCACATCAAAACACAGCTTATATTTTGTCATTTTAATTTAACAAAGTCATTTTTCCATTTCTTAAAAACAAAGTCCTGCAAGTGACGTTCTTGTCCTACTAGACATTCCTTTTTAGTCACTTGAAAACCCCATAAAATACTCCTCCAGCATTTCTTCAGGAATCACTTTAGTTTTTGTGCAATTCTTAGCTTCGGTTCAAGCAAATCTGTGGGGTGGCTTTTAAAAACCTTGAACTTCAAGTAGCTTATTAGAATAACCCCCCCCCAAAAAAAAAAAAAAAAAACAATATATATAAATAAAGAGTGAACGTAAGCTTTCAACAACAAAAGCTTCCTGGTAAATCTCTTTGGACTTGCCGAGTCACTGCGACTCACACTCTTTCAACATTTGCTGGTGTACAAAGGGTTTTGCGACATCCACCGATTATTTTTAAGGTTTAAGCGTTTATCCTAAATAATTTTACCCAGTTCACCATTGTTTTCCAATCTGGAACAGTGCCATGTTGACCAAGGATGGAATGCGGTCCAAACAATCTCTGGGTTTTCGCAAAAGGATCACTATTTTAAAAATAGGTTTCTAAATCAAAATCTCAGTGTTAATAGCATCAGGCATAATATTTACTAAAATAGCATAGTTTAATTGATGTCATAAGCACAGCTGTTCATTCATTGTTGCTTTACTTATAGTGTGACAACAAAAGAAAATTGGGGTGTTCTCACTGCCTCACCCTGCACTACAAAATGTGAACTAGAAGTTCTTTTCGAAATAGTCTCTAAACCAACCTTCTGAATGTTAACACAATATTTTTATCGGATTTCCCTACAGGGAAGTAGCTATTCCCGTAGGCGGCACGCTAAGACCTAGGCCCGGGACCGATTAACGTTTTCATCTTGATGTCCCCAAAGGCCAAAAACACAATTCGTTCAAATCTTATATATATTAGTCCGTGAGCGCGATAACTTGAGTAATCAACCGATTTTGATGAAATTTGGTTTAAAGGTGTAAGGCGTGATGAACTTGAATGAGTTCGGACCATAAAAACAGACATTGCATTGGTTTTTCTCATTTCTGACCCTCAAAACACAAAAGTTCCCAATTTCTCTCTGGAACTTTTTAAAGAGCTTAAAAAGCAAATAATTTAGCATATTGGTGTTTTTGTTATTGGTAACGGAGAAAATAAAAACATGTTAAATTCCTATGTTATTCTTATGGAGAATATTGTAAAATGTTATATTTTGCTTGTTTATGAAAATATTTTGATCAAACTTGGCAAATTTATTTATTTTGTACTAAGCTATTAATACTATACTTATAAACACACTTTATTGGTTTCTTGTAGCAGCAAACCTAGGTATTTGTTAAACCTAGTGTTATTTAAATAGATTTAATTGAAAATCAAATCATTCAAATGGAAATTCACTTAGTCAGCAGGTTTGCTGTGGCAATATTATACCTTTTTTCACTATTGAGATTTCTTACATTCTTCTGGTTGCGTATCGTAAGCTTTTTATTGGATAGGGCCTAGCATCATGAATTGATGGTCCAAGTACAAGTGAAACCCGAGTGTTGAACCGATCTAGTATAGTAACCAGTGTACTTGACACCAGGTCTTGGAGATTCATGATAAAATATTGTATCTTACAAGTGATCTTCAATGTCTATTGTGCATAGAATTGTTAGCCTTACTCATACATTTTATGTTATCACTAGGCTATATATCTGTGACAAATCAGATATATAGCCGATCTACCTATCTATGCGTTAATAAGGCCCAGGACCCCTCTTTAAGGTGGAGAAAACTTGTTCACTATTTTTTTTTTATTGAAATTTCTCTCTCACCCCTTCTCCACAAAAATCCACTTGAAGATTTTAATCTAAAGATTTTACCTGGTTCAAATGTTATGCTGAAGTTGAGTGTAGAAGTAGTGTCGATTCCGCATGGGTTCTTCACGTTTCCAGATACATATTCGATAACAAAGCCATCCTTGTCTGAAATAAGTTTATCTATAATAAATAAGTACTAAGACTATTTACAACAAACTAGAAAAAATACTATTTTTATTCGACGATTTTGAACTTTGTGTCGTTTGATAGGAAGTTTTAAATGTAAAATAAAAGTGTTCTAAAATATTGTTCATAAAATTAGAAATTTTTTAGAAATTTCAATTTGAAAAATTAAAATGATCGCCACTTTGAAATTTTGTATTCGATTAAGATATTTTTTTCTAACATTGGCGTGTAGTGGTTAAACATAAGTACCAAGTTTCATAATGTTTTCTTAAAAACATTCAAATATTAAAATGTTTATGTGCAAAAAACAAAATGGCGGATACCTGATAACAAAGCAGTTTTGGAAAAAAATGTTGTACTTGGGGTTCTCTTTATTTTGACCCGTAGGACGATTTCCCAGAGTTTGGCAGATTGCCTACGGGACACCCCGTGAATATATATATACATTGAAGATAACAAAAATATGTGACAGAAAGTCTAGAATATTCTATTTTTGTAAATAAAAATATTAACTCACCAACCCATGTAGAAGGCTCCATGCAACCATTTATCTTCACATTTTTCACCTTACATGTGAGTGATCCTGTAAAAAAAATATTATTTCAGCAATCATAGCATTTTAAAATCATATTTTAAAAAGCTATATATGTACCCTTTATATACCCTGTCGATATATATATATAATCCAATGTATGTTTGTTTCTTTGTTTGTTTGTCCTGTCGAAACCGCTCGACAGATTGTAATGAAACTTTCAGGCATTATTAAGCATTATTCAAGGATGGTTTGTGTGAAGTTTGGTGCAGATCTGTCAAAAGGGCTCCGCTCCAGTGGCTCTGGAGTTTCCAATGTTAACCTTATAAGTACTCATATTTAAATAGAATTAAAGAATCTTCACAGCTGGTTCAACAAAACAATTTGAATCTGTGATGTTCAATAGCATTAAAAAGTTAATAGGTTTACCATCAGGGTGCAGCACTATTATTATTTTTTTATTTATGACAACAGATAATTTGCAACCAAAAGGTGAGTGAGTGTAGCAAAAACGAACTTCAACCAGGACATGATTGAGCCATGCGAACGAGCTCATCTTGAAAATGAACGATCATTGACATAAAACCACATTAGGACGGGACGACGTCTGTCGGGCCAGCTAGTATAACCATAGATAAAACATACTCCCCCAAAGTAGATTTCTCATCCTTATGGAACAGCTGAAGAAAATTTTATTGTTAGTTCTGTACAGTTTATGTAGAGGTCGTGTTTTGTTTACAATTTGTTTCCCGTTATTACAGTCATTTAAAACCTCGTTTAACCAAATAATACGATCTAATCATAAACAATAACTTGTTTCCTAGTTAAATAACCAAACAGTAAAGCACAAATCAAGAAATTAACCCTACAATAATAGAAACAAAATTTTGACGACACTAGCGCGAGCCAGTCACCGTACATGAACTAGACACGAAAAACGTGCTTCAAAATGTACAATGGGATGACAATTCTACTTGTTTTAATTGTTTTTAGGTTATGCATGTTATTTTTTATATTGCTTATTTCTAAGTGATATTTTTATACATTTATAACTCCTTAGTTTAATCCAGAAATTATGTCTTAGACTTTGAGTTTTACGTAAAATCGTGATAGACTTTGGCTTAAGTTTTTCATACTCTTAGAATCACATGAGTTATATTAATACTGATAGTTTTGTTAAACTGAATCATTGCCTAATAATATTTCAAAGTTTCGCAAATGTCATGAGACTTGCTTTTTTCACAAGCCAGTATTTATCTGTAGCTATTGGACTTACCGGTAGCAGTTTTGCAGTTTTTAAACTCGATTTCCCTGTAAGCCACAACAGAAATTACCATCACTAACAATAATCCCACTTGAACCATCTTGATGTGTCAACAACTCCGCACTGTTCCTACTGAGAGGTCATCAACAGAACTAATCTCGCGAACGAGTCCTTCAAGCGAATAGTTCTCTGCCATCCGTGACTAACCAGATAACCTCGCATTTCCCAATCGTCACAATCGGATGCCGAGGCTGCAGTTTTACAGGAAATGGTTCTCAGACGCAATTGTGTTGTGAAGTTTAGGAAAGTAAATACATTCATCGCATTTAGAATTTTAAAGATCAAAAACAATCGTAAAAAATTGCAGATAGCTAAAACATGCGATAAGTCAAGATGCAGTATACTTTTAATGATAGCACTTAGATTTTTTGTACTTCACGTTTCATTAACTTTGAAAACTGTCATATTCATTTCCTACTGGGTAAAGAACTGATAAAACTTTCGTGATGGTTAGTTTAAGTAATGAATTTAATACATAGTATTAACGTAGCATGTGCAAGACTACAAGTATTGGTGGAAATGAATATAATCGAAATAGAAAAGTGGAACACGAAACTTATAGCGACCCATTCAAATTAAAAATATTAAATCTAAGCTAATACTGACGATAACATAGAGGCTAAGAGCTTATTAGAAATTTACTGACTATACAAACATATACAACTACTAATTTTTTCACGTGAAATATGTATATAATATAATTAAGTATATGATATAAAGCAATTAAGCGTAGAATTGTAAGTTTTTCTAAAATAATTGCAATCATCTTCGACTCTTCAACAAACCAAATCTTCTGAGGAAGCTTAAGAAGAACGACTCCTGGCCCGCGTGACTACCAATTGGCTTAATAGAAAAGACAATATGACCAATTATTGGCTGTGAGGCGCCTGGTGGTGTTAAGTTGCGACGGAGTTAAACAGACAGCTGTTTTATTTTTCACAGGTTCCGCTTATGCATTACTTAAGTAATAGTTGTTTAACATTTACATTTTGTTAAAGTATTTTCATAAATAAAACTCAAGAAGGAAATTGAGTTTTGCAAAAATTATTGTGCATTTAAATAGGGTTCGATTCACGACGAATGATGCAAACTGTTTTGTCATTCGTTTACAATATGACTGTGTTTAACAATTCAACCGTAAGATCAGTTGTTCACATTAAAATCCAAATCCATACCGTTATAACGAAAATTGGTCAGCATTACTCTGTCTTTTAAACTCTGAAAAAAATCCAAAGCTACGGGGCAAAGTCCTAGAGCAATGATCTTACATTTAAGATTCGTGCATCCGCTAGATCATAAGCTATAGAACGATACCACAATCGCAATAAACGGTTAACTAAGATGACTGAGAAAGGGATGTAGCAGCACAAAATTGTGTGCTTTTATTAGATACGTATTAAGGCACGGGTATGCTTTATAACAAGTTGGCAACACTGGTATGCTGGAGCAGTGTTTATTTGTCATTTAATTTTACCATTGATAGACATACAACGGATCAACTTATAAACCTGTTGTTGCGTGATACCTAAAACATCACAAACCAAAAATTATAGCCAGGTTTTTAATTTAGATTTCCATTTGCAACTTGTGAAACAATTTTTTAGGGATTGTTTTACCTATTTATTTAAATCAACGGATACAGCATTTACAAAATAATATATGTTTTAGGCACAAGAGCAGAAGGAAATTATCTAATTGCATTCATTGCAAATTATTTGTTAATCTGTGAAACTTCATAGTTAAAGTTAACCTGTATATACATACAATTAATGTTTTATAGTAACTGTAGGGAAAATATAATGTATAACAAGCACAAAATCTCTTTGCGCACTAGTTACACAAATAACTATTTAGTCCCTAGGAAGTAAAGATTTGTTGTTTTAAACTTTGATTGTAAGCTATCCGATGTATCGATAGTATGTATCGAATGTTTTAATCGGTCATAGGTTATTGTTGCTTCATGTGAGACATATATATATTACAGGAACTCAATCATTATTGAATCATTTACTAAGCTCCTGCTTTTTTGCATTTGCAAAATTGAAAACAAGTTGGAATTCATTTTGATTGGTTATTATAATTCGTCACTAGGTCAAAAAGAGTCTTTTCAACGCGTCGAATAATTTTCCATTGAGCTTGGGTCGAAAGCAAATACTTTACGCCCTAGTGATGAAATATACTATTGCAGTCCTATTTATATCATCTGGCAAACTAATTAACACAGACCAAATATGTAAGGGTAAATAAAATCAAATTAAAACTAAAACTTCAAAATCAGCTCAGTTTCAGCTTCGACTCTAAAGAAATGCACAAAAGAATGAAACTGTTACGATATTTTCTATTTGTTCTAGTGTAAACATCCACAATACCAAATACCAAAGTATGAAATCGTACGTTTTAGGTTTGATAACTGTTAAAAACACTAAAATACTTTTTGACGACTAAAATACTTGCGACGATACTTAACCTTTTGAAAATAATGTTCAATCCAATAGTTTTGTCTATAAGATCGAAAATGATGATCAAAAAGTTAAGTAACGTCGTACGATGATTTTAGTATATTCATTATGTAAACTTTATCACTAATCTGATTCATATAAGAGAGGAGTCAATGTCCAAAAGTTGTGTAATTTGAGCTTGAGTATAATATAGCCGGAAAGTATTTTTTGGGTTGTTTATTGCGCTTTAAAACTTGGTTGAATCAGCATTGTCGAAACGTATTAATAAATAATGAAATCAATTAAATTAGTTATACAGTTAATATGTATAAAACGATGTCTGGTTATTTATTTATTTTAACTATATAGCATAAATAAGAACTGATTTGTAATACCACATGTTTGTGTACAGTTTAATGATATATTTCAGTTACAAAACCCTTTCGGCCCGTAGTACGAACACTGTTTATCACCTAGTTAAAATAAAAAAAAGATTATTTATATAAAATTGATAAAACATATACAATAATACACACTAATAGTCATCACAACTCAAACGGAAAGGTCACGTGAAGAAATATTTGAAGGGATCAGCAGAAATATTGAATGTATAAAATATTGAATATAAAAAATGGTTGCAAGAAAGCGCAATTAAACAAGTCTATTGCAATGCACTGATTGTGTATTTAATATGCGTTTTCACCACACTATGATGTTTTTACCCGTTTTGCATACGTCAAAATTGATGGCTGAAAGCTACGTATTGCTGGCGATTTCAGCTGTCATCGTCATTTTTTAGGGACCGAGTAGGTATTTACATCCCTAGGGACTAAAATCAGCTGCCCGCTTACTTTCTTAAAACAAGAATGCATATTAAATACACAATCAGTATCCATAGCATTGCAATAGAATTGTTTTATTGTCACCGCTGCCTAGTAACTACTTATAATTATTTTTGCTGATTCCTCAAATTATGTCTTCACAAAACCTTAAAGTTGTAGTTCTCTTGACTATCAGTGTGCATTATTATTGTGGTGAATAGTGGTAATAGGGTAAAATAGTGTGGTGATAAATAGCGTTCGTACCGAAATGGTTTTCAGCCCTAGGAACGAAATATACAATTTAAGTAAACAGGCGAACAGCTGATTGTCGGCCCTAGGGGTGTAAAAACCTGCTTGGCCCCCAAATTACGAAGAGAGCTGGCATATCAGCCCCGGACAGCAAAACGTAGCTTTTAGGCATCAATACAAGCGTTAATTGAAGGCTCAAAGCTAGGTATTGCTGTCAATGCCAGCTGTCATCGTCATTTGGGGACCGATCTTGTTTTTAAATTCCTAGGACCGAAAATCAGCTGTTCGCTTATTTACTTAAAACATTAAATGTATATTCAAAACACAGGCTGTATCCATATACATTGCAATATACTTGTTTTATCGTCACCACTGCTTAGCAGCCATTTATTATTATTATTAATTTCTCTAAACATTTCTTCACGTAGCCTTGTGCCTTTTTAAAGTTGCTGTTGTGTTGACTAAGTTTACGTATCTCAATTGTGTATAGTGTGATGAAATATTGTGTTCGTACCACGGGCCGAAAGGGTTATACAGCTCTGGAATGTTTTAAGTTCTCGACTTAGTCTCGAACTTTATCTCGAGCCAGCATAAAAAAACCTCATTTTTGGCCTAGGTACGAAATATACGATAGCACGTGTTACCGTAATCTAATTTTAATTTAGGAATCATAATTTGAGTTTTATAAACAAAATACTTATTTATAAACCTGTTTGATTTATATGGGTCAACTACTTTGAAAAATATATTTTTTTGTTTATGAAATGCAATAATCTAAACACTATTGCAGAAACAAGGTCATTTGACGATAACAGGCGTGGCCTTAATAATTAAAATAGAACGATGGCTGCACCAAATTGATAAAACACCTCTCTTAACCTCTAAAACAATTCAACGAAGGATTTCTTATCCATCCTTTATAACACGTTATAAAATTGGTTCCTAAAAAATTAATGTAGCCTACACCATAAAGTGTAGGGTCGGGAAATGTAGTATGAAAACACAAAACAAACGGTAGGATAATCATGATTGAAGGGGGTTGCAATGTTATATCTGTAAGTTCAGAAAATACACAAAAGAATCGAGGAAATATCAACAAAGACAGAAGTCCAATGGCTCGAACATGACGAGCAAATGGAATGTCACTCAGATAGTCTTAGAGATTTCCAAACCCTGTGGCTGACATGCCTTCAGATACCCGGACAGCTTCAAAAAGCTTTGTTATATTACCAGATTGTACCATTTGAAGGTTTTATCTTGAAACATTGAACATAACATGTGAATAACAAAAAAATGTATAAATGTTTAAAACGGGATTGTTTTAAACCTTTTGGAAATAAGGTTGTTACTTCTCAAAATGTTGTTCTGCACGGGATTACTTTAATATTTCCCTTTTAATGGTTTGTAGTTTAGTGATGACAATTAATTCCGTTTTTGTGTGCAATTTATCTTCGGGCTGAAAGATACTTTAACAGGATCTGGCTCCAGAAATCAAAGAAGAGATTCAATGTTGAATAAGAGAAACATATACGAAACACTCTTGCCTTAGTGTTAACACTTTTAGAGTGTCTG